CCAATTACATGATTTGATTTCTTTACAGCTCTAAACATACTTTAGTCACTGGGGTCACTGGGTTTTTCCTCACTGACAAACACATCTGTGAGGACACTGCTGAAGATGCTTCAAGAGATGCTACCCTGTCTTCTGTACAATGTTCTCGTTTTGCTGCCCTTCTGACATGGCACACGGTCAAAAATATTATTTTTTCCCCACCTTTAATGCAACATTTATCCCGTTCCACAAAGTCCGAAGGATAATTCATGAGAAAGGTTGTCCAGTTTGTCTGCCCCCAGGCTCTGTGCAATGGTGAGAAGTGGAAAACGCCCGTGGGCTAACAAGTGGGATTGATGGCAGCTGCATGGACTGGATGGAATAAGTGACACATTTCTGAATTCTTATGCAAGAGAGTTTCGACCCATCGTCATGAGGGTGAATTTTCATCTAACAAAGCACCCTGACACTTAGGGTCTTCGTCCTGACTTGCCGTGACCTCCACAACCACCTCTGCATACATTCTCAACGCAGCACGTAAACCTGCAAAACTCAACTCCCTGCCATATTCTTATTCTTTCTCTCTTCTGTTCACCTCTGTGTGCCCTTTTTCTGACTGAACAGACTGCAACGACAAGACACTCAAGGAAAAAAAAGAAACCACTGATTTTTTTTCACACAACTCTGCAGTGACACGTTGGTCCACATGCATGATAATTGTGGAGTGCAGCAAACTTCTCTCTACAGCGCTGGCATTGAGATTCTGTCAGGATAAATCCCCAGCTCTTTAATGACTATCCCGTCATCTGCAGATGTACTTTGGGTTTGCTCTGATAAGGCTGCCGCTAAAGGGATCAATACTGGACAAATCAATTTGATCAATAATCATGCAGATAAGATGAAATTATTTATAAACTTCTGCATTTCCTTATGTATAGTAGATGCAGGCATGAGCACGACTTCATTTTACATTTCTCATGTTTTTACCCCACATTATTCCATGTGTCCTCTAGAAAATAATACTTCAACTTTTTTACAATTATATAATAATAGTTACAACTACTTTATTCAGCAATTATGCTGGGTGTGTATTTGACACATCTATAATGATGTTGCTTCAGTGCACTTGTTTAGACACTTGTTTGTTGACTGTCCCCCACACATCAAATTATGATTAATAACAACAGAAGCTGCAACTGGAGCTCCATGTTGTCGTCCACACACATCTGCACGCATAAAATGTAGTGTATCATTGCCTTCAGTGTCTGCAGTTGAGCTGTTGAATTTTTATTATTTACATTTAACAAACTCATTTTTTTTAATAAATAAATGAACACGCTAAGTACAATCATTTCTTTATACTAAAGGTGAATATTCCAAGCACTACCTTTACTCAGAAATCGTAATATGGTTTCCAGGAACCATTTAAATGCCGTAAGTGTTTTTATTACAGAATGAATTTACAAATTAATTAATAGTAGCCCCAGGTGAGATCAACAAAACAAGTGCTTTTAAAAAATTGGTGTGGAAATTTTGAAAAAGGGAGCATTTATTCCTTATATATTAATATTCATAGGGGTGTCCTCAGAAAGATGTCTTTGTTTTACTACATGTAGAATCAGTGCTCGGTGGTGTTACTACTGTACATAGTACAAGTATATGTAGCATTTGAGGACAATATAATCAGACGTGTTTGTTTTAACAGTTTACCTGAGAAGTGGAGTCATTAATTAACTCTCATTCTGAACAAAAAAACAGTCACTTGGAATCCATCCCTTACTGCACAGCGTCTCCCATTGACGTCAGCGTGAATGAGGCGTTTTTTAAAGTTATTTTACAATTGTTTACTGCCATCTACTGTTCGTGTACATCATTTACAATTACATCATTGCATCAATTACAAATCTTTGCTTCCATCTATTGTTCATTTACAACTGCAACGGTAAAAAACACATGCACCATGGTTAAAATAAAACTGGAAAATGCTTGTTGATATGAAAATAAATTAAAAGATTGAGTTAAATACTCATCTAGAAAAGGATCCAGAACAAAATAATTTTATCACAACTCTGAAGTACTTTTATATGTTCGCTGCAATGTGACCACCCTCAGGATGGTTCAGGGGGGTTGGTCCGGTGCAGTGTGATTTGGGTGGCGGTCATGGAGACTGCTGCCCCCGCGACCCGGTAACAGATAAGCGGATGGAAATGGATGGATTGATGGATGGATGGATATTATCATGTATGACTTGAGTATGAATTCAAAGGTAAACCACTTCATCTATTTAGACCCCAGCCAAAATATAAAACCTACACAGGCACAAAACAAGTTTGTTTGAAAAGGTTTTTTTTTTATTTGTTGAACAGATTGAAATTGTGTTGCTGGAATTTCTTATACTAAATGTAAAAATACTGTATGAGTTATTTACTTAGATCTTTTTCTCACATTTATTTATACAACAGCACTTTCAAAACTATTCCCAAATAAATAAGCAGCTCAATCGTTTAATTTAATGAGATTGCTATAACTATAAATAATTCTACTTAATTGCCTGTTTGGCTAGATTTTGACAAATTACAGTGTTATTTGTGTTCTCATGGTTATAAGGAATAAAAAAAAAGTATCACTCACTAAGGACTTCACATGATGCACACATGGGTGTAGCATCCTCCATTCCATGACATGACCTCTGCATGGGGATATTTACACTACGTATCCTGGGGACACATCACAAATCCATTATTTTCACAGTCTTTTGATGAACACTTGTTAATGCGCACAGATTTTATTTTGGACATACATCATTGAAGTCCTCTCAAGTGAAACAATCTTGATGTGACAACTTGTGTCATTGTCCACTGTCCAACTATTAGAAAGGAGTCAGCAAACACTCAGGTAGAATTGATTGTTTCTCTGTGTCCACTTGAACAGGTTAAGAAAACAGACCCTTAGTCAACACCATTTGAAAACAAGCCACAGCTTGGACTGTTGTCAAGGCAGGCCTGGGTCAGTTGATTCATTGACCTTTCCATCTGTTGACACATGGGAAATTCAGGTTAATTTAAATATTTTATAGTATTACATATTGTATAAGTTTTGCTTCAGTTTTGAAACCAAAAAGAATATTTATGTTTTAGCTGTTGGATAATAAATAAAAGTTAAAAGTTATGAGGCATATTAATGGGCAGCAATGTGGTCTGTAGAACACTGTTAGCTAGGAACAGTGTTAATGAATAAATTGAATTTTGAGTTTAGATGGTAAAGGATTCTAACTTTTTTTTCTGCACCAGATGCCACACAGCTTGTTTAGTTTCACAGAGCTGAACTTGAGCATTTTGACTCTAACAAGCTATGAGCATTGTTGAATGACATCCTCTATAATTATTACAAAAAGAGTCAGGATCCAGCTGGCTCTCCCTTGAGTTATAGTTTCCCTTTACATTTTCTTACACATGGAGGAGTCTTACATCAGTAAAACCAAGCTGTGTGTTGCAGAGTAAAAATGTGCCTGAATATGAGATTTGGGGGGATTGTATATTCCTGTCAGCAGCACAGAATACAAGGCCTTGCTGAAAGGAATTGCATATTTTAGCCTTGTTCTAGTGAGGAAAATGATATGAGACTGAAACACCAGACACCAAAACAGTAAGGAACTATTTCATAAAAAAATATTCATTCTGTAGTGTGGTTTATTCCATTGCAAGGGATTGCAGAATGCTTTGAAATATTGAGCTATTGTTGAAGCTAACCACAGCTTGCCTTGATTGACATAAGACTGCTGAATATTTCAAGTCCTAAGAGAAACAGGTCTGGTAAAATAACTACTGATTATGTATCAAGGGTCAGATGGCCTTTGGACATAGGCTGACAAGTGGACAGTGTGTTAATTAAAAATGACTGATGAATGCACTAATGTGGGAGTGCATGTCAAGAAGAATCTCCATGGAACTGGACTACACTGAAGTGGACACTAAAGGAAAATTAGCACCCTCTGCACAGTCATGGTATATGTCTAAATTCACAGAACAAGATTTTGATCATGTTGCTGTAAAATTGTGTGTTTTTCTGTCATAGGAATAATGGGCTCATACATGTATGTATATACAATATTTTACAAAGCTGTAGGAATAAAGTATGGGCAGGAGCAAAGTAAGACAGCACAGAGGGTATGAGGGCCATCCAAGGTACAATATATATATATATATATATATATATATATATATATATACAATGTGGAGTATATATTT